GCAGTGTTTGCGATCGTCGCCGGCGTCCTCGTCTTTGGCTCCGGGACGTCGGACAAGGCGTCGGACAAGTCGGCGGCGACAGCGCCCGAAACGCCGGCGCCAACACCGACGCCGACGCCGGCACCAACCGCGGTCCTCGAGTCGATCGAGCTCACCGAAGACGTCCATAGCAACGGCGTCGGCAACGGCCAAGACGTGCCGTGGAAGCGAGCGCGCTACTACTTTGTCAACAACTGCAGCATGCCGCTGCATATTTACCAGAAACCGGTCGACGTCAAGCGCTGGGGCTTCTGCGACCTCGACGTGGGCCGGTATGGATGTGCGTCCAACGAGACGGGCACGAGCTACCACACGCCCACCGCAGGCTTTGACCAAGCCACACGTACGGATGCGACTGGATTTTGGATATGGATTATTATTCCATGCGAAATAGTGTTTGAGGTCACGGTCATGGAGACAGGCCGCGTCGCGTACGACATTAGCATCATTCCTCCAGGGGTACATCTCTCTCTTGTGCGCACTTGGATCTTATTTCCGTCGTGTAGTGCGACCACAACGTCGGCCTGGACAACTGCAAAAAGCACAGCGGCAAAGTCGGCTTCAATCTGCCCATGCGCGTCGTGCCACTCAACGCCAAGTGCGATGTGATCACGTGCTTGGCCGACGGCTGCGAAGAAGCGTACTTGTACCCTGCAGACAACACCAAGGTGCACACGTGTGTCGACGCCAGCGCAACGTTCCAGGTCACGTTTTGTGCAGCATGAAAAACAATACATAGGCAGTAGAAGGTTAGGTGTAGATCGATTTAGTGGCCCAAGATAGTTGGATATTTTGCATCATTTCCCGAACACCGTCGCGCTACAGGCTCACTGGACAACGCAAAATGCCGAATAGTTGAAACCATACAATGAGTCGAAACAAACACTGTTGGCGCTCGAATATTGACGGTTGTGTTGCTGCTGGGCAGTCCCACGTGCACCACGATAAGGGATCGAGCATCGATCTCAAAAATGCACAACCTCGAATTCAACCCTCAAAGATTGAGTTTAAAATGTGACAAGATCTGAGCCACAAACGACATGGACTTGATCCTTATGCATGCCATCCTCGGCGATCGAATCACCGGATGCTGCAGCTTTGTCGCGGCCGTTTTCGTAGAGGTATTGGTTACTGTGCACCCCAGTCGCACCGGATCCATACGGAGCATCCATACTGCGGCGCCATCATAAGACCGAGGTATACAAGCACGCCACTAATCAGTTCTGTGTGGATGGCCGTCCACGCTGTCTCAACGCCTCTTGATGCAAGCCAGCATCTCATCGTGTTGCTTTACGCGAGGGATTCCTGTGGTGGCACCAGTTGTGTGTCGTTATCGTTTCTGCGCAGAAGCGGTATGCATGGAGATTCCTCGACATGATCGTCGGTTGTGGTGAAAAGGACCCTATCATAGTGTAGGTCGCTCGTCGAACCCAGTGACGGCCCGTGTTGCAACGGACGCATCTCTTTCAGTGACGTGTATCAACCGCCGAATCAAGAAGGCAGATCGATCTCTGCGCGACGCTGCCTATTTCCAGACACGCGTCTCGCCATTTTTCCATGAGCCGACTCGTGGTGCTCACGCCCGAGTCGTCGCCGGCGCGCCTTTCGACCGACTCCATTGCGCTCTTAGCGTCGCCGCCGCGCCGATCTAGTGGCCGATGGCGACTCCTGCATCTCTCTACACAAGGCACAGCGGCGTCGAGAAGCATTGACTCCAGCCGACACGACGAGCTCGACAAGGTCGACGACGGTGTCCACGCGCTCCGACGGAAGCGCAAATTGGTGCTGAGCTTGATCGCGTTGGCGCTGGTCATTGTCGCGATTTCTCTCGCTGTGATTTTCACGCAGGCCAACGGACGGTACACTTCGAACGGCGACGCAAAAAACAACTTTACCACAAATACGCTTGCGCCGGCGGCTGTCGAGTCGTCCACTTCGACCATCCCGCCGCAGACAAGCGGACCGGTTCTGGTCACGGCACCGCCGAGAAGTGAAACAAATGCCCCCTCTTCTCCAGCTAGCGTCATGGAGCCGGTGCCAGAAGCCTCCGCGACAACGACAGAGGCACCTCTTACCGTGTTGACGGGAACGATTGCAGCAACGACCTCTACACCAATTGTACCAACGACGGTGGCACCGACGACAGTCGCGCCAGCAACAGAACAAACACCAGCGCCAACACCAGCGCCAGTCTTCATGCCGGTAGATGCCGAAACTCCTTCTCCATCGTTAATCACTCGAGCAACTCCAATGCCCACACCGACGCTCACACCGACCCCAACACCAGTCCCCTCGACCGCCCCCACTACAGTCCCGACGTCGTCACTAACACCAGAGCCGACTGTTCGCCCGACTCCAGCTCCAACACCACCTCTGAGCCCACCGACGACGCCAGCACCGACTCCATCGCCTACCGCAGCACCGACTACGGCACTGCCTTCGACCCAAGCTCCAACGCCAACTGTGTCGCCTACGGTAGGCCCATCGTCGGCCCCAGGATCCATCCATTTCGTCAACAACTGCGGCGCCAGTATCAGCCTCTACTACACCTTTGTCACATCGAGCGGCAAAAGCGACTACGTCCAAACCGTGGGTGTCGGTGGCACGTTAGATGTCGTTGGCTCCTCGTTTCAGTCGTCGACGTTTCGAGTCGGGCCGAGTTCACAGGCCACTTGTGCGCCTTTGTGGATCTCTCAGTCTTGGCACTGACACTGTGATCCTCTAGTGCTCGAAGTCTCGCGCAATGGCGGCAAGACGTGGTACGACATCAGCGTCATTCCGCCGGGGGTACAGACAATAACCCGATTGATCGAGTTACTAGAATGTTTCTTGTGGCGCGTAGTGCGGCGATGGTCTGAGCTGGGACGCATGCAGTCGAGGCGGCACCGTCACGGGCTACAATGTGCCGCTGAGTGTGCGCCCGGCACGGGTTGTGTCGGAAGCCAGCTACAACTGCGTGGACGTCCAGTGTGCCTCGGAGCAGTGCCCAGACGCGTATCTCTTTCCGTCCGACAATGTCAAGACCAAGAGTTGCAGCATCGATGAGGTGCTCGTAGCGACGTGGTGCTAATGTCAAAGTCTGTCACTCGGCGTTTCTGTCCCGACCATGTCATTCAATGAAACCCATGAAGTACTAGGAGCCACTTGCATGATGATGTTGCCATTCCAGTTAAAAATCAGTTTCTTACAAAGCGATGAACACCAATGGGATGAGCATTCACGACGATGCACAAAAAGTGACGACGAGCGCTTCGTCTTGGTGACAACTCTTGGTGTGGTAATCGTCCTTTGGGAAAAGGTAGGCGTCCGCGCACCGCTCGGTTGCACAAACCAGGGGTGGGCAGTTGTACCCGTCCTCTGGGGCGAGACGCTGCGGCGCGACACCGATCGCAACGTTATAGCCTTTGACACTACCACCCTTGCTGCACGCTTCCCAGCTCATGCCATTGCCACACTACAGGACATCACGTGAGACGGGTGGAGCTGCAAGATTGCAGCGAGGTACCCCCGGTGGTATGGCGCTAATGTCATACCACACCTTGCCACCGCCGCGACTCGACTCAAACACTAGACAAAAATGATTCGATGAGATCACGATGGATGGCAGCTGTGACGGACGCGTTGCCTCTGGACTCCAGCCGGCACGAAAGGTCGACGACTGATATTGGTGGCCGTAGACGTCCCACGTCACGCTTCTCGAGAGCCACAGGGACGTTTCGACGCACGCGACGTGCTCGAAGCAGAGTGAGTAGACGATCTCAATGTCCTTTTCACATCGATTGACGATGCGCAAGCTTGCCTTGTTGGACGACGTGACTGGCGCCTCGGTCGGTGCAGGCGTTGGTGCCGGTGTTGGTGCCGGTGTTGGTGCCGGTGGTGGCGAAGGCGTGGCGACTGGTGTCGGCTCTGACGTGATCGTTGCCGATTCTGTTGGTGACGGAAAGAGTGTTGTGTTGGCGGGGGCAAGCGTTGGCGTGGTTGGCTCGGGCGTCCTTGTCGAGGTCGGTACGGGCGTCGGCACATCGGTACCGATCGGCACTAGCACGGAGGTTTCGTTCGTCGCAGTTGTCGACGGCCATGGCGTAAAACTTGCTTTCTGGTTTGCTTCGACAGGACTCGACGACGACAGCACGATTGCGATCGCAGCTCCGACGACGACAACGACGCCGAACAGAAGCACGAGCACCCGCTTGCGTCGCGTCTGTTTGAGCCGGTTCTCCAACTGGTTCGAGTCCTTCGGATCAACGACCATAACCGGCGACGCAAACTCCTCCGAGACGCGCCAGAGCACGATTTCCGAGGTCGTCGTTTCGCGCATGTATTGATGTCGCGGCACTTGTAAAAAGGCAAAGTGAGGCCACAATTACAAACGAGCGAAGGCAGCCCAAGATACTTTCGTCGACATCGGCTGGGTTCCACGAAGTGGTACGGAGGTCGCGCGGCGCGTCGACAGAGCCGTCGTCACACGTTGTCGTGTGCAGCAGTGCGTCGTTGCCGCGACATCGGAGTACATAGAACTTTTGGTCAGGTCACACGGCCGTAATTTCCGAAAACACAGCATCACGCTCGTTTGTACTCGTGAATACCGTGGGAGATGTATTGAGTACGTATGGAATTTGGTCAATTGACATTCGTCGTTGTGAGAAAGACATGGTCCTGATTATGGATCCGTTCGTTTTAAATTCATTTTAAAATAAGTGATTTTAAAATGATTTAAAAATGATTTTAAAATATGGCGATTGGATAGCGAATGTTCGAATTAGACATGCGTCGACAGCTTGGAAATGCCCTTGTCGTCAACGTTGGCTCACGCGACGGTGCTTCCCTCGAGGGACTGGTGCAAAACAACCTGCTCCAAGCACTCATCTGGCGTAAGAAGCAAATATAACGCATCTTCAACATCTTGACCGTCGGCTTGGATCGCAGTGGGTCGCCGGTCGACAAGGTTGAGCTCCTTGTCGTTGATGATTATCACATCCGCGTCGGGGTCAAACATCTTGGCCATGAAATGAGCGAATGGGTGACGCAGCTCGGGTCCGCCACGCTTGGCCACGTTGGCGTTGTGGGCCACAGCAACTTGCCGCTCAACCTTGCCGTTGCCGAGGCGGTTTCGAAGAGCCGTGTGCACATTAGCGCCGACCTTGTGGTTCCTCTCAACGCCTGCAGTCAAGGCAGGGCCGCAAAAGATCTTCACCATGCACGCTGAGAGTAGCGGGAACTTGTCGTCGCACCAAATCATCTTCGGGTGGAAGTGCGAGTGACCCGCGTTCTCCAGCATGAAGCGCTATTCGCGGAGAGCAAAAAGCATGTACTCGGCGAGAAGAGCGTCAAAGTACGAGCGCTCGACAATGGGTTCCGGGTGCAACCGAGCCAGCAGCACGATGGCACTGCGGCATTGCGCCTTGAGGTTACCCTGGCCAAGTTTGAGGGCTTCAACGCCGATGTTGGTCGCCACAGCAGTGCGCATCGAGTAGTAGAACGGGTCACATAAAAAGGCAAGCGCATGCATGGGTGAGTAGATGCGGGCCCACCGCCGCAGCAAGCACGCAAGAGCCGCGGCGCGTTCTTCACCGAGTCCATGGACCGTCGAGAGGTGGCAATAGACGAAGACAAAGGAAGCGTAAGCCGTGCTCATCGTAGCAGCGTCGCCTTCAAGTGCGCCGAGAGCCTTGAAGATGGCGTCCAAGAGCAAAAGAACGTCATCCAGGCCGCGCCAAAAGACACTGTCGACAAGCTTCTCGGGTGGGAGGCATCGGTCGCCGCGATATGGTTTGCGAACTGCCACTGCAGCCCCACAAAAAGAACGAAAAAAAACGAAAAAAAACGTTTTGAAATGATTTTTAAACGTTTATTTTATTTCATATAGAGACAAAACATTTAAAATCATTCGATACTGAAGACGGTCACCATAATAAGGCCACGCTCGGCTGCTCATATCCCTGTCCCAGGACGAGCCCCAGGACGTCTTATCATAATACACCCAAGTTGTCTATAATTTCTTACAACGTTGACGACAACGAAAACGCTACCTCTGGTGCTGACGGTCGGTCGTTTGGGTTGTACATCAAGCACTGTTTGGCGAGCTGACGGACCCACGCCGGACACGAGACGGTGAACGTCGGCTGGATCGACCCTGCGATGACGAGACCCACGATCGCAGTGTCCACATACGGCTTGTTCGTCGTCGGATTCATCGCGTTCGCATACGGAATCTCGTGCGTGTCCAGCTCCGACAGAATCATTCCTATGCCAGGAGAGAAGCATGATCAACCAGAATTGAGACTGTCCATAAGAACGTAGTACCCAGCGAGAAGATGTCGGCAGCAACTGTGTAGTGGTCGTCTTTCAGAATCTCGGGCGCCATCCACCGGTACGTGCCAACGCTCATGGTCATGGTCTCCTGAAAGTCTTCTTTTGAGACGCCGAAATCACTCACTTTGGCGCCCTTGGTCGTGTCCAGCAAAATGTTGCGCGACTTGAGGTCGCGGTGGATGATGTTCATCGAGTGCATGTACACAAGGGCGTCCACCACATCTCGGAGGACTCGGAGCTTCCAGGTCCAGTCCAAGCGACCATGGGACGCCAAGTGGGCTTTGAGGTCGCCGAGGTCCATGAGCTCGAGGACGGCGGCGAGGTCACGAGGTCGAGTCCACGCAACACCGTGCAAAGCGACGATCTGCGGGCACTGGAACCTAGTAATGTCGTCCGGAGTGAGAATGACTAGGGTCTGTGTAGGGTGGGGGTAGGGTACGTACCGGTTCATGAGCTCGAGTTCGGCGATGAAGCTGCGAATGTCTTCGACGCTGCCGCGATTCGGAAGGAGCCGCTTGATGGCAACGGCCCGGCCACGAAGCGAACCGCGCCAGATCTCGCCGAATGCGCCTTCGCTGAGCTTACTTCGGTAGATGAGGTCGCGGCTCGGAATTCGGATCGGTTCGAACGCATCGAGCTCGGTGGCGAGTCCATCTGAGGGCTCGGACCACTCTACTCATCCGATGATTAAACATTCGCTTGGTCGATGGATAATAGACATATTGTGTACCTCGTCGGCGCCGGTGCTTGTAGAAGACGCCGAGGATCGCGCAGAGTGCGATAGCGGCGGCAACAAATATCCACGTGATATCTACGCGGTTGACTTGAGTGATACGAGTGTTCCTATTTTGGACGGACTTGATGTGGTCTCAGTCGTTTTAGCTTTGGGCGACGACGACATGACACAGGCTGACCAGCTGCAGCGGGTATCGACCGACCAGAGCGGCTTGAGCGCGCCATTTTCGACGGCACCACAGAGAGAGCTGGGAACGACGCCGGAGATGGTCGCAGCATCCAGCGCCTCGGTGTTGGACAGCGTTGGCGTCAGGCGACGCAGTGCCAAGTACGTAGTTTCGTCCATGACCCAGTCAGCCAGCGCAGTCGCCGTCGCGCCGCTACATGGGACCATAAGCTCTATGGCACATGGAGGTCGGACGCACACGTATTCGATGGCGTTGGTCAGTTTGACGTTCTTGATGGTCTGTAGCGCACTGTTGCCGCTGAGCTCCCTAGGCGTAACGTCGCGACATCGTAGCGAGAGCACATTTTGTACAAAGAGTTGAGGGCTGGCCACGTCATGTCTTGGATTGACGTCAGGGCATTGCCTCGAAGATCGCTACGTAATTGATGGATACGTACACTATTTGCGTGAGGACGAGGATGTACAGAGAGCTCAATGATGCTGTCCGTAGCTTGGAGATATCTTGGATGTGATTGCTACTCAGTCGTCTACGAGCACATTGCACAAACCTTTACTTAGTCTTTGACAGGCCTGCATGGGGTACAGCGTGCGAAGGCTCGGCGGCAGGTTCGGTGGCAACGCGCTCAGTTCGTTGTCAACAAGAGACCTATGTACAGATCAGAGCATTCAGACTTTATGCGAAGCGTTGAAGGCGGTGTACAAGGTCTCGAGGTTGGTGGGCCACTTGATCTCTGGCGATAGCGACCGCAGCTTGCACCGGTGCACGGCTCTAGCCTCATGAGAGCACGCTTCCATCATTACGTCGTGTACATGGTGGGGCGATTGAGCCGCGAGCTGCTACTCGATTGGCAAAGCGTTAGGAATGGATGCTACACGAGGCGACACTCCACGTACTTGAGCGTCGCTGGGAAGAGGAGTGTGCCGAGATCGAGGTACCCGCCGGCGCAGTCGACACCACTAAAAGCACACGCATCACGCAATGTTGCAGTGGAATCGCACATATAGCTACAGCGTCGCGTTAGGGTAGTTGGCGAGGTTGCCGACTGCGGCGAACGAGTAGTAGGGCACGAGTGGCGCAGTCAGGTCTGCTGCCAGTGTTGACAGCAGCGTTTTGCCGTCGTCGCTGACGAGGCGGCACTTCTTGTTCAGCAAGCAGACGGGCGACCTTGGCGGGCAGTTGTCGTCGGCCGCGAGGATGATCGCGTCGTCGGCAATTGCCAGCGCATTGTACGGGCAGCGGGTCATGGCACGTTGCCTTGTGCCCACGACCTTGCCAGCTCGCAGCGGTTGGCTTGACACCCATACGTAATCACCGTGAAGTAGTGTATGTGTCACACTCTAAATATAGTGTTAGCATATAAATCGTGTTAATATCAAAAGGAGGATTCTTGAATTGGTGTAATAAAGCACGTGTGTTTTACACGTGAAAAACACAAGGCAGTGGTGCAATGTGGCAGTTGCGCTCCGGCTGCTACGATGCGCCAGCGCTTCTTGAGCTTCCTGGCGTCGACCGAGCCGGCGCCCAAGCCGCGCGGCGCCCACCTGCGGGCGCCGTCGGCGTCGCTCGCGGCCAGCGCGACCATGAGCCGCAACCAGGTCGTGATCAAGGCGACGCCAGTCGGGCCCGCCGAGGCCCACTACACGCAGTACACGATCATCTGCTCGCAGCCAGGGACGTACCAATGGTGGGTCGCGTTCCGACGCTACTCGGAGTTTGTGACGTTCCGCAAGCAGTGCCATAAGACGCTCAAGGTCGTCCAGAAGAGCGACCACGCACAGGCGCTGGCGCCTTTCATCGACGCGCTCTCGGCGCTCGCGCGCTGCCCGTTCCCACCCAAGCACTTTATCGTTGACGACGCTACGATCCTTGCCGAGCGAAAGGCCGGCTTGGCCACCTTTGTGGAGCACGTGCTCTCGAGCTACGACGACGCCAGCCGGCTCGTGACGCTGCTCGGTGTGGCCCAGCGCGTCCTCGTCGATGCGTGGCTGCGCCTCGCGACCGCCTTCTTGGTCGTGCCACCGGATGCGCGCACGTCGCGCCGCCGCCATACGACGCTCTGCGCTGCGGACGCCGTCTGCTCGATCTGCCTCGGAAGCATCGATGACAAGGGCGACGATGACCGGCGCAGCGCCGGCGCCGTGTTTGAGACCAAGTGCCACCACCACTACCACCGCAAGTGCATCTTGCCGTGGCTCGCCAAGACGCAGACGTGCCCTATGTGTCGCCACCGCGTCGTCTCGGGGCGCTGGTACTGACCGCTATTTGAATTGCTTTTGTGTATTTAATCGGCTACTGTCGCTGCACGTGGGTGGTGGCGTACAACATCGCGCTGCCGGGCATTGATGTCCCGATGTCTCCATCGACACGGGGCTAATCAAGGCCCCAAACACGACTCTACATACGGGCAATCTGTCTAGCCAGTGCATTAAAGGGTTGCAGTGTGCTACTACTGTACTACAGTGGATATGACGGGCGATAGCTACGGGCGATGGCATAGCCAGCAAGGTGGACCCTTAAAACAACCCACGAGGCTGCGATGGTACTTTGGTTTACTGAAGCGTGACGCCCAGGTCAGCCTTGGCCCAAACCCGCTAAAGCATCAACCAACAAGGTTTGAGCCAAAGCCCCTATTTACGTCGGAGGCTGCCTCGATCTGCATGCGTATTTAATTGTTGCGAGAGGGATATGGAAAGAGAAGAAGAAGACGATGGGCATGTCGTTCTGTTGTTGCCATAGCTTGTTGCTATGGCGGGCAGCAAGACACACGTACAATGTACGCACGTACGTTGTTCTCGGTTGATACCTCGTCGTTCCTTCTCCAGGACCCTCCGCGTGCGACGTCGTGTTTCGTGCAAGTTCCATTCGAGTAGTTCTGACTCCGTCTCGCCATGAACCATGAACAGCTGCAATCAACGAGGACGAAAACAGGCAGAGATGCTATGCCGAAGCACGATCAAGAGGATCCTGTGGTCACAGAAGGCAGAGGTGTGGTGTATAGCACCAGACGACGATGCATCAGACGACGCTTGTAAGTGCAATCTGGGAACGGCCATGCATCGTTCTCGGAAGGAGCGCGAACGGTTGAAGGACCAGAAGAATGCAATGCAATATCATGGCGTTGAGCGGCACCGCACCATGCTACCAACGCATTGATGTGGCGTCACCATGGCGACAACCGTGACGACCGGCAAAGCAGCTCCATGGTTGCGGCTGCATGGTGCCTCCTGCTGACCATTACCGCCTCCAAGATACTTTGGACCATGCGGTCGGGCAACAAAATTCGAATATCAGCGCAGTTTCTGGCTTTCTCCATCACATGTTTTGGCACTTCAAAATACTCCAAAATGGAGTTTCGCCAGATTTTTAAAACTTTGGCGCCAATCTTTGGCGCCAAGCCCTCGCGTTGGTGCGTCTGAGTGTTCACCTTGCAGGTGGGAAACACGTCATGCAGCGACTATCTAATATGTGTTTGTACCCAGCATCCCGCCCAACCCCAGTTGCGGCGGACCGTCGTGTCAACAAATCGTGATAGAAACGATCCCCGATACAATAACATCAAACAAGTGCTGTTGTGCCGAGGCTTTGGCGGCGAAGACACGCCCCAGCCCTGCCTCACGCGCACCCGTTGCGAGCAAAGCGACGTAGGACGCACCGCCTTGTCTACACCACGTTCAACCACGACGACGACGCCCCTGATGACGTGGCCGAGCGCACGAGGACCGTGGATATGGCCTTGTCTGTGTCTGAAGACTATAGCAATAACACTACGCAACCAGACCGTAGCTCCGTTGAAGAGCGCATGAAATGGCACTGCAGGGGCCGAGCGCAGCGTGCTGACCAGACGCACAATCGGATCCAAAACGTGTGGTTGGTGATTTATTCTGGACGCATGCGTGGTGAATATTGGTACAATTGTGCGATGGATACCGGTAGTATGTGCACAAGATCGCTAAAAACGCAGCACGTTCACGTCTCTTTGACACGCAATTTGTCATTTCTATGCGTGGGCACCAACTCTGTGGCGCATCTTCTCTGATGCTTCAAGCTTTCCGTGATGGACCACGTGGGCACGCCCACTTCGCTTGGCGCCTCGAAGAAAAGCAAAGCTGTCTGCAGGTGCCCTCTGTCGAGTTTCATTGGCTCGCAAGACGCCACCCATACCGGCGATTCTTGAGGTAGTCGGTGCCAACTGCGCTGCCTGAGATAACGTCGCTTGCACTGTAGAGACAATCGCCATGCATTTTGCTTTGCATCGATCACTCTCTCCACTGGTTTTAAAATGGTCAGCAATGGACTGCTGACACACGACACCTGCAAGTCGAGGCAAGAGGTCAGCGGCCGTCTGTCTCGCACGTCCAGCGCTGGTGCACCTTGGACGAACGCGTCTCGGAGGCAAGGTTGAAGCTGGCTGGTTTTCTGGTCCCGTGCACCTGCGTTTCTTCAACCTGCAACTTCGAAAAATGCGAAGTTCGAAGCCAATAAGCCAATCCAGATTGCACTACGTCATTCTCACACTTGCCTACCACCGCCGATGAAGCAACCGTCGCTACTCTCGTCGCTCTTCGCGGGCCTCGACCAGCCCTTCCGCGCGCACCTCAAAGCGCCGAGGTCGGCCTACGTGCACATCCACGCAGAGATCGTGGCCACGTCGCCCAAGTCGAGCTACACACAGTACACGATCGAGCTCACCAACCCGATCACCAACTCGTGGCGCCGTGTCACCAAGCGCTACTCCGAGTGCTACCGCTTCCGCAAGTCGCTCATGCGCATGTACTACTCGATCCGCCGGGATGCCGAGATGGCGCCGCTCGCCGAGCTGCTCCAGCGTCTCTGCCTCACGCCGTTCCCTAAGCGGTACTTTGAGTCGGACGATGCGTTCGTGCGCATGGAGCGGACGCAAGGCCTCACGCTTTTCTTCGACATGCTCTTCTCGCTCTGGAAGGACGGCCTCCGCCTCATCACGCAGACCGAGGTGCACTGCATCCTCGCGAAATGGACGTTCATTGAGGCGATGCTGGAAGCGTTCCTTGACCAGAGTCTGCATCACAAGGCGCCGACCAACCTCGACGACACCTGCGCCATTTGCCTCGGCGACTTTGAAGATACGGTGTTTCAGCTGCGCTGCGGGCACTGCTTCCACCGCGACTGCGCGCTCCATTGGCTCGTCGAACACGCCACGTGCCCCCTCTGCCGCCAGACCTGCAACGCCGGCGACGTCCATAGCGCGTCGGCCATGCAGCCGCTCCTCCGCACCACGTCGACGATCGCCGCGCCCGCTGCTCGCCATCACATGCCGTCCCGCGCCGTCTCGTGCATAGCGTTCTAGGATGGAGATTGCACATCCTTATTTATACAAACGATCCGTTCCTCTTCGCACGCTCCTTCTCTTGACCGCTGCGTATCATCGCCCGTTACACGTCTTGCCTTGCATCGAGTCCCTAGCCCCTTCCTCCGCCAGCTCCATGCGCCTTGGCGATCTTCCAGCAGGCGTTTGACAAGCGTCAAAAAAGGTCCAACAGTTATAACACCTAGCGTCATCTGGGATACTACTCGTGACAGCCTTGTTGACTCCGATGGGTGCGCATACACGAGCACTGCACAGAGCACAGTATCTGTACTCGACTGCGCTCGCGACGCCAGGCGTGGGACGTACCAGCGCGGTATCTATGCACCGTTCGTTTAAGCGTATTATAACACGCCATAACAACTACTAACTAATATCCTTGCAAACACAACCATCCGAAAACAACCGATTCCGATTTCGGTACAACAAGGACAGTCCTTTTTTCAAGACAAGACAAGGACCATTTCCCCTTTGTCTCGGTGACCTCAGACCGCCAGCATGCTCGAGCTCAGCTATGAGATGACCCTCCTCGTGACCTTCCTCGTGGGCATGCACGTCCTCGCGCTCGTACGCCCCATGGCCGCTTCCTCGATCCCGATGCTCACCCGCCATGTCCTAGGTCTTCTGGGCCTCGAGCGCGATCGCCGAGGGCAACGCCCGCAAGCGCCAGCTCGACGACAAGAAGCTGCGCTAGACATCTTCTCATGCATCATCATCTTTGTCATCATATACACATGCAATGCAACTCCTCTAGTCCTTGAAGAAGATGCGCGCGCCGTTGAGCGACCAGTTGAGCAAGTCAAACTCGCGGCGATGGAGCTCAATGCGCTTGGCCGTGAGCTGGAGCGTATGGACCTCTTCTTCGTCGTCAATGAGCTCGGCTGTCGTCTCCTTCTTGTTCTTGGCGGCCGCCTCCTGCTTGCGCGCGTCGCGCTCGGCCTGCTTGGCGTTGTACAAGGCTTCGTCCGCTTCGTACTTGCGCTCGACTTCTTCGAACCAATGGAGCGCGTCAAAGTCCTAGCAGCAGCATCCTCACACGTCCATGCAGCAAAGCATGGGATGTGTCTACCTCGCCTTGGTTGAGGACTGCAAGGAAGTAGGCGATGCCGATCGCAAAGCCATCGTCGGTAAAGTACGACTCGCGCCGGCGCGTGTTCTTGTACATGAGGTCCTTGGCCTGCACCGACGTCTCGATGAAGTTGATCGTGAGCGCGGGGATGATCTGGTAGAAGAGCGCGAGGTGCTTTTGCTCGTCGGGCGAGACGGCCTCTTGGAAGACTTGGACGAGCACCTTGAAGTAGTTGTTGTCCTCGCTGAAGTTCTTGGAGAGGTTGAAGAGCGCCGTGTCGAGGTTCGAAGCCGCGACCACCGTCTCGTGCGAGAGCACCGGGTCCTGGACCACGGGCGCAAACTCGAAGTTGCGCTGGTTGAGGTCCGGCACAAACTTGATCGCGTTGCTACACTCGCGTTGCCATCGACGGTCCGCCATATCGACGAGGATACCTGCAGTAGTTCATGCCCGCCGAGCGCACCATGCGCACGTACCCAAGCGCGTTGCCAATCTCGGTGATGAGGATGCGGTACTGGTCGAGGAAGGTGCGGCCCGCGTCCGAGACGCCGAGCTGGCGAATCTCTACCCAAGAAAAAAAAAGGTGAAAAAAACACGCCGGGATCGGGACTCGAACCCTTGTTGAACTCGAACGCGCGCGTGTACGGGTACTTGTGGTCGACGTCCGCGTCGTCCTTGTGGCTCTTGTACCAGCGCAGCTCGCGCTTGAGGAAGCTCTTGATGTAGTCGTCAAAGAGAAACTGCGAGAAGATGTCCATCTTCTTGCTCAGAAACTGGTACGTAAAGTTGACGGTCGTGTTCATGATGCCCATGCCGTGCGTGCGGATCGACGACGCAATGCTGTGGATCGAAATCCCGTTGAGGTGGCGCGACCCCTTGTCCGACCGGCGCTCGAGAAAGAACTGCTGGTTCAGATTGTAGTTGTACCTATAGTCGATGCCAGACTCGAGATTGTGCACGAGATTCTTTTGTACCGCGCGACAAAGATGTGGATGTTGCGCATGATCTGGAGAATGTCCAGACCTTGGTCCAACGACCCCATTGGGAGATGGTTCTCGGCCAGCTGGAGACCGTACTTGTCGTTGGCGAGCTGCCGCATTTCGCCATACCTAGTCTCGAGACTTCCGTCAAAGGAACTCCAAATGTCGAAAAACGCTCTACGTTTTCCAGTCGTGGAGCGCGACGGTCGTGAGGTTGTAGAACGTCGACTCGAGGTAGTGCGTCACACGGTCGCGCAAGTCGAGCTCCTTGCCCCAGAGACGCAGCGGGCGCAAGTCCATAAAGTAATGGAGCACCTAAAGCGATCCCATCTTGAAACAACCATCCATCGATACATACCTTGAAGTCGGTGTGCGTAAGCGGTTGGGGCTTGCATATGATCCAAATGCACCGAGTGAATGTGCAGGCGGAGGTCGTTCTCAATGTCCATGCAGAGCGGCGCGACCAGCTCCTCTTCCACGACGCCCTCGATGAACGTGGCGTACGCGTTGACGTACCCCGCCGTCTCGACCTCGTGCTGCGCGCCTTGGAGCGACTTCATCGCGTCCAGAAAGCCGCCGACCTGCATCATATCAATGTATCAATCAAAGGCAAGATGCATCGAAAGGCCGGAACATACGACGTATTGGAGGCGCGACGCTTGCTCGGGCATCGAGTAAATGTCTTGCACAAAGAGGTGGAGGAGCTCGCGGCTCCAGTACAAGAACGAGCAGTCGCACGCGACGCGGATCTTGCGTTGAAAGTCGCTCAGCACGTGCATCTTCCAGAGGTGCTTGAGCGCCTCGATGGGATTCACGGCCGGCGCGGCCGCCTTTTTCGCATCGCTGCCCGTCTCGACCACATCCGGGATGAGCGCAATCTGCAGCGCCAGCGACAACACATCCCTAGCATGACGCGGCGAGTCCAGGACCACACGCGAGGTACCGTCAGCCGCGTGTATGAGAAGGATTCGCCTAATGGCACGTCTTAGTCATGAAATGACGCAGTGACAGCGCCTACCCGAGTGCAAAAGCTCCTCGACGACCGAGACGGCCGCGAGCACATCGAGCTTGGTGTCGTCAAAGCGCTTGCTCGCTTCGAGACGCGCCTTGATGGGCCGGAAGAAGAGCGTGAGCGCATGCGCCACTTGGCTAGACCGACATATAACTATCAGTTATATACATGACAATAGTGTCTTCGTACCGCAGGACGAGCGCGGCGCTTTCGGCCAAAATCGGGTTCTTGCGCGCCATCATAAACTCGATCGCTTTCGTCATCTCGATACATTGATACAACGGCCGCACAATGCGCTTCGGCATCGGGATCTTGAGCAGCAAGTGCAATTGCACGAGCGTCTGCATCATGGTCTGCACGCGCCGCGCGAGAATGAGGCCCTTGACGATGAGGTTGCCACGAATCCTATTTGAAAATATCAAATGATCAACCGTCCATACACAAGAGGACGTACCCCAGGACGCGGGCCGTGTCCCCCGAGCCGCGGGTCGTCCACTGAAAGAACGACTCGAAGCGGACGAGCCACGCGCGGACTTCCATTTGCACGAAGTGCACGTCGTCCGCAAACGTCTCGTCCATGCGAACAAGGTACTGCCGGCGCGCCTCGAGCACGTCAATGGCTTGGGCGTTCTTGGCTTGGAGAGGCGCGTACTTGAGGAGGAACTCGGGAAGGCACCAGTTGAGGCGGCCACAGAGCACGACGATCGGCGCTTTGAGCTGGCAGCTCCAGAGCTTGTCGTAGAGCGCAGCGTCCGGGAGCACGTTGGGCGGCATGAGCTTGCGAAACATCACATACAAACCCGTCGTACCCACGAGCTGCGTGCGCTCGTACGTTTCCGCGGGCGTCCCGAGCGCCGCCTCGATCGACTGGATGCGCGTGCTGAGGCAGTGGAAAAACTCATCCAGAAACACGCGGTTGTTGCGCACGTCGATCGTCTTGGCCTGCGCAGCGTCCTCGTCCTCGTCCTCATCTTCGCTGTCTTCAAACGACAAGAGCGTCTCAAAGTCTTGCTCAATGCACGTCTGGAAGCACTTGGCCCCTACGGTGGCGCGAGTCAATACAATAATTGTACATGAATAATAGGAAAATATCGGAAAATAAAGGAAAAGAGAGGAAAAGAGGGGAAATGGCGTACCCATAAAGGTTTGATCGAGGTTGACGAGGAGCTGCTCAAAAGACTTGACCTTCTCGAGCGTCACGTTGTAGCGCGCGGGGTCGGCGCGCACATACTGCATCATGCGCTTGTACTTGTCCCAGGACGTGACAATGTTGGGGTTGTCCAGTACAATCATATCGAGCGTCATGAGGATCTAAAAAAATTAAAGTATAGACGGGAGCAAGGCTCGACATCGGTACCTCGAGGAGGTTGGCAAACGCGTCGAAGACAGACGTCAGATGCACGTGCTTGAACGTCGACTTCCAGAGCTTTGGTAGCTCTGGTACAGAGACGCGAGCTGGTGCACGAGGTTGATCGCAATCAAGCTGCAGCGATCGACAAAGTTGGAGATA